CAGAAAATGACAGAGGCCTACGGTGGGGCCATCAACATCTGGGACTCCATAGGCCCCTACTGTAAACGCAATTACCTCCTGATTTCCCAAGGAACCCGAAAGCGTCCTACCAGACCCTCCCGCTGCAGCCCGTGCCAACGCCACGCCTGCCCAAGAAACGTTCATCGAAGACACGTAACGCAGGCAAACCCGGGTCCACGGGATCCTGAGCAGGCGGTGGGGCTGGTTCTTAAGTGACCGTTATTTCATTTGCTTCCAAGTAAACGATTTGCCGAAAGGTTACTATGGAGAGACAGCGGTGTCTGGAGGGCCCAAGGGCGACGGCAATCAGAATGGAGGGCGGCTACCACGTTCGAGCACGTAGTGGGGTCAGCCGCTGAGGTTCACCCACAACCGTTCAACCCAGAAGCGGACTGGGAGCAGGACGCACGCAGGGTAATTTAGATCACCAGCAAAGACCGCGGGGCGCCCTGGACACCTCGGGTCTCTGGCCAAGCCAGCAGGCCTCATAACACAGGCAGCGTGAAGACGGGCAACGGTAAAGAATGATGCCCATAAAACCCACTTGACCAACGGCACTTTCCGAAGCAGACATTCCGTCAATTACCAACATGCTGTTACTCATGAAGTGGAAAAGGAAAAAAAAAAAGAGGAAGAAAGAAATCCACCTCAGAACGGGCTGAGAGCGCTCTAGGGACCGCCACGCACCCCTCGGTTCGGACTTGCCTGCCCCCCCCACCCCCCCAGCGTACCTGGCTTATGTGCACGGCGGACACCTGTGCGGAACAGACAGACGAGTGGCTTGGGGAGTTGGGCAGCGACTTGCAGGGCCCTATGGACAGCTGCTGCTTCTTCCTCGTGGCCACAATCTTCTGGGCAACTAGTGGATGGGAGACACAAGAGATCAGCGTGAGGCCGGCTTCCAAATACGGGGGATGTGGCAGAGACCGCAAGGCGTCCCTGTGGCCCGCCGCTCCCTTCCTCCGCAGCAGCCAGGCCCCTGGTTCCGGGCCGCGGCTGGCAGCAGCGACCGCACATTTCCCAGAGCCTCCTCCACTCTGTCCTGCCGCCCCCTGACTAAGGGCGGCCGTCCCAGCCAGCGCTGGCCGGTGGGGTGACGGCTGGAGGGGCATGGGGCAGCTTCCAAGAGTCTTCCCTCAGAGGGCTGCCCTTGGCCCATTTCTTCCTTACATCTTTTCCCGTCTTGCTGCTTAAAATGCACACGTGTGAGCTGTAGCCCCTGCGGCCACGTTGGGGACAGAAGCTGTGATATCAAGAGAAGCTGGCCCCCTGGCTACACCAAAGGCCTCAACAGCCCTGCCCAGACCACCTCGTTACAACGAAACCAACAAAAATACGCACCTGTCCCGTTCAAGTTATTCTAACGTGATTTCTTCCAGTTACTTGCAGCAAAAGTGATGCTAAGTAAGACAGGATCATGTAATGAACCCCCTCCCACCTGGAGAATCAAAAAACTGGGTTTTGTGGGGTCTTTTTTGCACAGCCTAAAGAATTACTCTTAACTTTATAAGCTACTGCACAGAATTACTTCCGAGGACATGTAATTATATCAAAGACTTTATTTAAATACATCACCTCACACATTGGGAGTTTATCTTAATCAATACAAATCTAAATTCAACCAGCCATAGCCTCTCTTGGCAAATAGGCTCGCTGATAAAGCATGCCGGATTTAATTGGAAAGGAAGTCAACAATAAGAAAACTCTTCCCACACCAATAGGTGTCAGTACAGAATAACTATAGCCTTTGTTTGAATAGATGGGTGTCTTTGGGGACTGGCTGTAATGAAGTTCAGTGGTATTCAATCCTTGTCTTGGGCCGGAGGGTGGCTATTTTGAAAGCCACCCGTGCAAAGGAACACAGCCCTCGTCCCTAGGGGTGGGTTCTAACACTGAAGGAGCACACGGAGTGGCCACAGACAGTTTCTTTTCCGAGTGAACAAAATTTTAATAAGGAACTGGTTTGCCCACCGCTCATGGCTCTCGTGGAAATGAACGATCGTGTAAATATGATTACGTCAAAGTGCAGGATATAAAAAATGGCTCTTGGAGACGAAGCCGCAGCTTCATTAGTTACACCCCACCTCCAAGAGGCCTCCTATCCTGAAAGGATGATATCAATTAATTTATCTTCCCGCAGTGTATTGATCATAACCTTCATCAGCTAATCATGTTTAAATTACAGAGGAATATCGCAGCATTCTGTCATTTCAAAACCATTGGCGTATTGATCTGGGGGTCTTTGAAGACATATATTAGAACATTTTAAAAATCATTACGTGAACTCAAAAATAAAATCTAAGCTCATATTCCAACAGCTGCAAAACATGTGTCATTTGGGTGAAATAAACTTCCAAAGACCAAAAGTAAGCAGACTTAAAATCACGATTGTTTGGGTGACTGCTAATGTCCTTCTTTTTTTGAGGGGAGGAAGTAAAAGGTGGGGGGGGGGGACTGATTATCAACGATGACACGCTTTTGTCTTCTTCCCGGCCTCATAGTTGCTGTCCAGCTGGATGACCACAAAAGGTCTAAGGGCTCTTTGGGCTAAGGGCTAAGCTCTTTGAAGAGCTCTGTAGACATTTTCTCTAGATGATTTCTATGCTAAGAGGAGAGTTGAGAAACTCTTTAAGACAAGTCAAGTATGTTACAAAATCTTCATTTTGTGAAAATCCAAGTGCAAATGAGTGTTCTACCTCTTCCGGTTGGAGGCTGGAGGGAGAGAGCTCGTGGCCAAAAAGAACATTTCTACAGTGAGGCTTCTCCCCCCGTGCCGGATGGCTGTACAAGGCCAAAGCCACACATTAGGTACTAAAATTCTTCTGTCCATTTAATTGTGGTTCTACCACATTAATTACATAAACTGAAGCTACGACTTCTAAGAACTGTAGCACCTTTGTTTTTTCTCTACTAGAACTTTTATTCACGTTTGTTCAATTTCCCCATAATTTCTGTGGCCTTCCTGCCTCCGTAAACAAACGGCAAAAGGAAACGGTTTACAAATATCTTGTTCTGAAGTATACAGACTGCTTCAGAGCCTAGGATAACCCATGCAAAACAGGGCGGAAACTGAATGCTGAACAATGAAAGCAGGTGACTCAGAAGAACACCAAGAGGGAAAGGGGAAGGTGCGGTGACGGTCCCGTAAGGTGCGGCCATCCTCCCCCTCCATACTGAAAAGCAAAATCTACCCTACGGTTACTTGCTGAATGTCCCAAGGATGCGACCCGAGGGGTAATGTCCCTCTGGGCCTCGCTTCAATACTTTGCCAGGTGAATCGTCCAGGTGTGCAAAGGCTAGAGTGACCACTGTCTGCTAAGACAGTGAGACGGTCCATCCCTCGGATCACCTTGCCAAAGTCAGGGTGAATTCACAAGAGCTACCCCCAGGGTAGCCGGGATGGACCGTCTGAGTGGATGAGCCCCCCTCCCGAAGGCAACGGAATACCAGCCGGAGTGAGGCAGCACTCTCCTGAACTGCCGTCATTAACTACTCGTGATGTTCACCACGCTGAAGTGTTAACAGATTTAAAACATGAGTATCACCCCAGATGACAGTGGCTGGGCAATTTTGAACTGAGTTTTTGTCTACATGTGCTTATTCAACACATGGAGTATCTTACATGTTTTAAATAAATACGTGGATGTGGGGACGCCTGGGTGGCTCAGTCAGTGAAGCGTCCGACTTCGGCTCAGGTCATGATCTCATGGGTTTGTGGGTTCGAGCCCCACGTCGGGCTCTGTGCTGACAGCTTGGAGTGTGGTGCCTGCTTCGGATTCTGTGTCTCCCTCTCTCTCTGTCTCTCCCCCTCTCATGTTCTCTCTCTCTCTCTCAGAAATAAACATTAATTTTTTTTTTAATTTTTTTAACATTTATTTATTTTTGAGACAGAGAGAGACAGAGCATGAACAAGGGAGGGGCAGAGAGAGAGGGAGACACAGAATCTGAAACAGGCTGCAGGTTCTGAGCTGTCAGCACAGAGCCTGATGGGGGCTCGAACTCACGGACCGTGAGATCATGACCTGAGCCGAAGTCGGCCACTTAACCGACTGAGCCACCCAGGTGCCCCTAATTTTTTTTTTTAATAATAAATAAATAAATAAATACGTGGGTGTGAATGAAAGGATAAACCAATCACTTGAGCTATGAATCCAGACTCCTTATCACTGGGAGGTGATGCTTCCTCAATTTCGGTGACATATGTTACCAACCTTGGTGACATGAGCTACACCTGAGTCCTAACCAGTGTCACCACTATGTAGTGAAACATTCGCTCTCTCACCAGACGCTGCTAACCAAGTTCCTTAACCACTTGATCCTTCAGTACCAAGGCTCCATGTTGTTTTAAAAGTCACTTCTGCCGGGGCGCCTGGGTGGCTCAGTCAGTTGGGCGGCTGACTTCGGCTCAGGTCACGATCTCGCGGTCCGTGAGTTCGAGCCCCGCGTCGGGCTCTGGGCTGATGGCTCAGAGCCTGGAGCCTGCTTCCCATTCTGTGTCTCCCTCTCTCTCTGCCCCTCCCCCGTTCATGCTCTGTCTCTCTCTGTCTCAAAAATGAATAAAACGTTAAAAAAAAAAAAAGTCACTTCTGCCATCACTCGGAAATTTTATTTGGATGACACAGATATCCCTTAACTAGGGTACCCGTAATCAGGGCGTAAGGAGTTCCCGGGGGCTGGTAGTGGCTCTTGCTCGATGTTGAGTGACCACCCAGAGATCACTTTTTATTTATTTTTTTTATTTATTTTTTTTTCAACGTTTATTTATTTTTGGGACAGAGAGAGACAGAGCATGAACAGGGGAGGGGCAGAGAGAGAGGGAGACACAGAATGTGAAACAGGCTCCAGGCTCTGAGCCATCAGCCCAGAGCCCGACGCGGGGCTCGAACTCACGGAGCGCGAGATCGTGACCTGGCTGAAGTCAGACGCTTAACCGACTGAGCCACCCAGGCGCCCCCAGAGATCACTTTTTAAACCACACTCTTACGCAGACATTCATACAGGTATTTCCGTTCTTCAGTATAAAAAGATGTTTATTGAAGAACTTCAGCAACGGTCAGGGCACCTGGGTGGCTCAGGTGGTTAGCGTCCAACTTCAACTCAGGTTATAATCTCATGGTTCGTGAGTCGGAGCCCTGTGTCGGGTTCTGCACGGACAGTGCGAAGCCTGTTTGGGATTCTCTCTCCCTCTCTCTGTTCCTCCCTCCCTCCCTCCTCCCTCTCTCTCAAAATAAATAAACTTAAAAAAAAAAAAAACTTAAGGAACAAGAAAAGTGAGTGACACATTAACTTTCTCCACAAATTTAAAATTTCTTATTGGAAAATGATAAAGGGCACCCTCTAATTAGCGATAAAAATAAAACTCTCCGATAGTTCCCAAATAAGACTTCATTAAATCCTGGCACGATGCCCCATTTCTGCTTTGACTTTATTTTTTCAATCATTCGCACTGAACGAGGAGACGAATGTCTGGTCACCGTGGGAGTCGGTCCTGCCCCTCACCCCGCGTGTCCTCCTTTCCGTGGCGGCTTCCATCTGGACGATGCACCGGGCAGTCCCCTCCGAGAGCTCACTCAATGCCCACAGGCCCTGGTTCCCAGATGAGGTCAATAAAGCAGACGGGGCTGAGCCGGTGGCAGAGCTGGGGTTCCGGGGCAGCGAGTGTGGCCGCGTCACGGCGGGTGGCAATGCCGCCTGGCGACGGAACGTGTTACCCGCCAGCATCCCCATGAGACTCCACCTCTCCCAAGACAGAGTCTATGCGTCCTTTCACTTTGCGTCCTCACTTTCTCCACAACTTCCGCTTTTTGTTTGGATGGCAGATAAAAGAGAGCCAGCGTGGTGACCGGCACCCAGGAGCTG